TAAAATTACAAAGAATTAAAAAGTTATATTAGTACAAGTGATATTAAAATACCTAAGTTAGCTAAATAATATTTATGAAATGTTAGAACCTAGATTATTAATTATTAATATATCAATATTATTTGTCCAAACTTAATTACGAAGCATGATTCTTCGCCAAGTAGGATTTCGAAACACCAGAAGCAGCCACGTAGGCTTAGCGCATTCGGGAATTATATATAGAAAGATTTTATGTATTTTTGTTAAAGTGATTTACCGTCCAAAATTATTATCATTATTGTCATTATTATCAGTAGTAGTATGTTTCTTGCAAAATATGAATATGTGTGTATATTTTAAATAATCCCCCCTATCCCCCCTATATATTAATACAGAATGCGCTGAGCCTACGTGGCTGCTTCTGGTGCTTCGGAATCCTATGTGGCAAAATTACATGCTTCGTTATTAGGCTTGAATAAATTTTAATTTAATTCCAAACCAAAAATGATTAGGTTCGGATTACCATAAATATATTAATTATTTATGGCCATGTTAATGTATTAATTGTATTTTAATATCATTCCTTATTATAACTATTGAATTGTATATATATTTTAAAAGTTAATAACTTTTATATTTTATATCAGTTTTACATATGTAATATATCAAATTAATCTTCTTTTGATGAGCTTCGATTTAACATCCATATTGTATGTATAAAAAAAATTATATTTATCTTTATAACAATAATAAAATTATTTTTAATATTAATTAGAAAATTAAAATTATTTATCAACTAATATTTTTATATTTCAAGTAGTTATATGATATAAGTTATAACAACTAATATAATATAACACATGTAAGTCATAAGTAACATATCTCATTCTAAAATATATAGTAATATTTTTTTTTTAACTAAATTTAATTTAGTTTTTTTTATTAATTTTAAAATTTAAGAATAATTTTTTAACAAACACCCGTGTAATACACGGGTGTTGTACTAGTTTACTCTATTAATCAAAAATTTTATTTATCTTGAATTTATGTAAAAAAAATACATAAAGACACTAATTAATAAAATATTAAAATTTCGATGTCTACAACTAGAACTGTAAAAATATATACCAAATTCAAAGTGAATGGATTAGTCAACATGTTTAACATGATGTTATACATTAGAAATTGAACTCAACATTGTCGACATTAAATATCATTCATCTCATCGTGAAAGAATTCACGACATGATGTATTGGAGAATACATCAGTAACATACTTTCAAATAGTTGATGATATAAATAATTTTTTATAATGTCAAAAGCCACATTGAAGATGTTGTACGATGTTGCAAACACTTAAACTCAGCGTATTCGAAAATCCATATTTATATCATAAGATTAACCATCTACCAAAAATAGTAGTAAAAAAATTTGGGACCATTTATTGCACACCTTTTTTTGGAAACTTTTTAATATGCATCAATTGTTTCCATATACACGTTTTCAAATAAGATCAAATCAAATATGATAAAAAAAATATTGTTTCCTTAAACACTTTTACTAATATTTACAAAAATTTTATTGATAATTATTACAATAAATTACAAGATTGATTTTTTGTGATCCATGTCGATAATATTTTGTCCAAGATAAATATTATAATATATTTTAAGTTCTAATCATAATATTTTTTCTCTTCACAAATATTCACATTTTATCTAAAAATAATTATAGAAAATCGTAACAGGTTAGATATATTTTTTTCTTCCAATTAATCAAGCGAAGTCAAGTTGATGAATTAATTTTTGCCAACATAAATTTTTATTAAGCTTTATTTTGTTATGTATATATATAAAACAATTTTTCTTCAAATTAATATAATTTATTATTTAAGACAATGACTATATACATTAAATAGTTTTACTAATGGTCAAAATTTAAAATTGAAATACATTAACCGTTCTTTTGAATTTATTTAAATATTATTGGCAATCATGATTATTTTTTTATCATCTTTTGTTTTAATTTATTTCTATAATGAAATTCTTGTAAAATATATTTTCATTGCAAAGTATGCTAAATAGACTATAATCCTTATAATGCAAATTAGAAAATTTTTTATTATAGAAAGTATTGAGTTTTTGGCATTTGCTAAATCAAAGTTGTTTAATTAGTATGAAAAAATTAAATTCTGAAAAAAACATGTGTGTATATTTTGTAAAATATTTATATACTATTTAATTTTAAATTTATTTACATAATTTAAATTGATTAGATAAATAAATAATACTAACGTAGATTAAATATTTTTTATTGCATAAAGATGTACAACTTCTATAACTTTTATAACCAATAATGTCAATACATGACAACAAAATTTATAATAAAATAATAATTAAATAATATATGGTGAACAAGAATAAGTAAAACTTTTATTTTCTCTTATCAAAGAATAAATAAATATATATACATATATATTAAAATTAAATATTATATTAGTATAAATGTGTTCATAAGATAATATATTAATGATTTTAGAAGCTAGCTCTAACATGCTCGTATTTAACGTTCTGACTAAAAAAACGCTGATTAAATAAGGTGAAAAATAGATTATAACCATATTATTTTTTATATTTAACTTTGATCAAAAGTCGTTTGATAAAAAAAAGACTTTGATCAAAAGAGGTGAAAACTAATCTTTTAGACCTAAACGGACATAAGTACGAAAACAACGCATTTAATATATTTCTCAACCAATTCTTCCTATCTTTTACTCATAATTTCAACTAGGGCTGGGCACGGTTCGGATACTCGAGTTTTTTGAGGTATTTGCTAACCGAACCGAACCGAGCAAATATTCGAACTTGCTAACCGAAACTGAACCGAAAATATCGGTTAACCGAATTTTTCGTTAACCGAAAAAATCCTACTATTCGCGAATTAACCGAATTGAACCGAACCGAGCAAACCTAACACAAATCTGCTTACTTGTTTACAAATAATAAACCGAACCGAACCGAATCGAGCAAATACTATTTAGGTTAGTTTAATATATATATAAATATATATATAATATAATATATAATATATATTTTATAAATTTTATTATAATATACAATTCGGTTCGGTTAATCGGGTAAAAAATCCTAAAAATCGTAACCGAATCGAACGATCAAATACTTTCTTTGAGGTATTTGTAATCGAACCGAGTGCCCCGGTTAATCGAAAATTCGGTTCGATTTCGATTCGGATCTACGATTCAGCGGTTGGGTTCGAATTTTTTGTCCAGTCCTAACTTCAACCATTACATGGGCTGCCTTAAGGCTTCTCAAACATGCTAAAATCTGTTCTTTCTTATCTCTCGCAACATCGCAAGAGTACATACTAGCTATATAATGAAAGCCAAGTTGATTTGTTTAACTAAATACTAACCAAAACAATACAATATATAGTATTTAAATTACTTTATAACATCACTTAAGGTGACACACATGTTTCGCGAGGCAAATTTTGCAGCCGACTGCATGACTTCCTTCACTGTGGAGGGTTTGGTGGGATTTCAGTATTTTAGCGCGTTTCCCGTTGGGGTTTGATAGTGGCTGCACCATGATGTGATTGGCGTGTCATACTCGCGTAACGTGGGTGATTTAAACTCACGAGGCATTAGCATCTTCCTTTGTAAAAATAAAAA